CTGAGGAGAAGCCACATGGACCTACCCTGATGCAGCCCTGGGTGCTGGAGCAGCCGTGTGGAGACCCCTGCCAATGCTGAGATATTTACATGTTCACTGATCTGGCTTTCCTCCTATAGTTGGAATCATTGTGTATGTTTTTTGAGATTTTGTAGATTATAGGAGGACTTTGTTGATTGGTGTCAGATATATGGGTTAATGTTGGACTTATGGGCTTGGGCAGCACTAAGTTGGGATGCTTTCTTAATGTACAGTTACCCTTTATATAAAACTCTTTCTTGGATGAGTTTCTGTGGATTTTTTTCTCTACTGTACCCAGACTAACACATAAGGTCAGTAGTTCAAAATCACCTATTCCCATAAAGAGTTACAGTCTCAAAAACCACCAGAAGTTCTACCCTATCATACAGGCTCACTGTGTGTCAGAATTGACCTGATGGTAGTGAGATTTAAAAAAAACGTCTTTTTCTAGGTAAGGCAAATGGAAGAGATAATGATGTCAGAGACCTGATTAGAAAATTTCAAAGGGCAGCATGAGAAGACAGTAAATTACTATAAGGATATATAAGAATACATAGAATTAGAACATTAAAACTGAAGGAACTAAAAAAAATCTCAAGTCTTGGGTGGAATACTAAGATTTTATATGGAAAAATTATTTAATGATGCAGGAAATATTTGTAAAAAACTGAAAACAACAACAACAACAAAATGAAAACAATATTACTTTCCCAACAAACTGAAATAGATCCATACATGTATGCATTCCAAACAAAGGTGACGCCACAGACTGGCTAAATTATAGGATAATATCATTAATGCCACATGGAGTAATATTTTGCCAAAAATAATCCAACAAATGTTATAAAGTACAGAATTCAGGACAGGGTTACATTGACAGAGAGCAGCCAGAGCTTCAGGCCGGACTGAGAAGAGGATGTGGAATAAGGATTATCCTTGCTCATGTCAAGTGGATCTTGGTTGAAAGAACAGAATACTAGAAAGATGTTTAGTTGTGTTATATTGATTGTGCAAGACATTAAATTGTGTGGGTCAAAACAAAGTATGGATGACCTTGAGAAGATGGGAATTCCAGAACGTTTTATTGTGTTTTTGTAGATCCTGTACAAAGATCAATTTGAAGTTGTGGGAACAGAACAGGGGAATACTCCATGGTTTAACATCAAGAAAGTTGTGTCAGGGTTGTATCCTCTCACCTACTTATTCAATCTATATGCTGAGTAAATAATTAGAAAAGTTTAATTATGGTATATTACAAAGAATTCAGCATCAGAATTAGAAGAAGGCTTATTAAAGTATTGCTATACTGAGATGACACAAACTTGCTTGCTGAACATGAGAACATGCCTATGAAGATCAAGGATTGACGCCTGCAGATTGGATTGCAAATACATGTAAATAAAGCAGAAAGCTTCAAAACTGGACTAACATGATAAACAGAGCAAGGCTTGCAGTTGTTGAGGATTTCAGCTTGCTTGGATCCACAATCAAAGCTCATGGAAGGAGCAGTCAAGATATCAAACTATGCATTATGTTGGGTACCTCTGTTGCACAGATCTCTTTAAAGTATTGAAAAGCAAGGATTTACTTTGAGGACTGAGGTGGGTCTGACACAAACCACGGTGTTCTGAATAGCCTCACATACACGTGAAACTTGAACATTGAATAAGGAAGATCAAAGAAGAATCTATGCATATGAATTATGGTGCTGGTGAAGAATAATGAAAGGTCTACGAACTGCCAACAGAACAAACTAATCTGTCTTGGAGAAAGCACAGGCAGAAGGCTCCTTAGAGACAAGGATGGCAAGACTTCGTCTCACATATTTAGGACATGATATTGGGAGAGACCAGTCCCTGGAGAAGAACATCATGCTTAATAAAGTAAAGGGTCAGTGAACAATAGGAATGCGGTGGACAAAGGAGATTGGCACAGTGGCTACAACAATGGGCTCAAACATAACAATTGTGAGGATGGCAGAGGACCACAGTGTTTTATTCCGTTGCACACAGGGTTGCTATAAATTGGCACCAACTTGGTGACACCTCACAACAACACACGTTGGTATTTTATGAAGATAGAAGTAGAAATTTGGGGAAGGACAGATTACGAGTGAATTTGAAAAGATGCAAAATGAATTTATAATGACATTTGTAAAAGGCTTCACTGGGTTTATAGAAATAAGAAAATGTGGAGTAAAAATATTTTTTCATGGGAAATACCTTTAGCAAATTTTAAATATAGGGATATGAAGTGCTACAGGTTTACTGTAACCATACCAACAGGTAGGTGAACATGTGATAGAAAAGTAAAGGTAATTGTAGACTTTAGAACAATTTGAATATAAATTCAAGTTTAGAACTTTCTGTAAATCCAGTAACTGAAAATCATTGTCTACAGAAGGTGTAATAAAATACCACCATTATATTTTAGAAAAATTAGTGGGAGGTCAAAATGTTTAAATTTTAGGGTTTTTTACTCCTTGTGTCACCATGTGCATTTGACTAGAACTGTGAATCACAGGGTTTTAGCTCCTGGTTTGTCAGAAGTAGAACCCCAGGCCATTTTCCTGCGGTATTACTGAGGGAACTCGAACCACTAAGCTCGGGGACCAGCCAGGTACTTTAAGAGTTTGCACTAACAGGACATACAAAGTAAAATAATATCCTCAAAATAGTTTTGTAAAATAAGATTAAGGCAGGATAGACTCCATAGGCCAATTATAATCAAGGCTTACATGCTAAAAAGGAGTAAAATAAGCAGACTCATAAACATTACATTAGCATAATTATTTTTGGTTAATTTACATCCCATCACTCATATTTAATATAATGGATATATAGTTTTATAAGGCATTGTGAAAACAGTATGGGGCCCCATCTGACCACTATGACTCCTAAGAGCCATTGCCACAAGGCAAGGGTCAGACATGCCTTCTGCCTCCGTCCTTCTTAACCCTATTCTTATACCAATAATTCCTTCCATGGCACTCAACTTTCCCTACATACTACTTTTCTGCTAGGTTCTAAAATTCATTGAAATGACGCACAAAGCTCACAGATAATTCTCACAATTATGGAGTTTATTAGGGAATTTAGCAGATTACAATTCAAGTTAAAAATGCTCAGGATATAGTTGTCCAGTCAAGACAGCTTGTTCTCTGCCTAACCCACAGGTAGGCCTCTCTATCCCTCAGCCGATTGGCCTGGCTTCCACCCTGCTTGGGTGGTGTTCCTTTCAAAGCCGCTGATAAATACCCAAAGGGAATGCCATTCTACTGTGAGCTTCATCCTGAAGACATTCAGCTTCGGTTCCGTGTGTCAGCAAACCCAGGCCTGCCCCCCGCCCCCCCTCCAAGTCTCGTGTCACTTTCCACTTTTACTCGCCCTGTGAGTTGGGAAGTCCATTGCTTGGTCTCATGCTTTGGCTTCTTTTCCCTGCTGTTACTGCTTTTCTGTCATCGAAGTTGTCTTCTGGATCAAGGAAGTCCCCTGGATCTCAGGGTCCAAAGCTGTACTCCCCTCCTAGCTCTCCTCTGCTGCTTGCAGTGAAATCTCCCCAGCCTGCTAGGATGGCTCACTTCATAACCAGGAATAAAATAAAATTGGAATTGCAATCACAAGTAACTGTTAACAAGGACTCACAGCTGAATCACGTACTCCAATCAATATCTTCCCCCCAAAGTCATGTGGTGAGAATAACAAGGGCTATGTCTCAAAGAGTCATGCTAAATAATTTATTGCAGTGCAGCCACTCATATCCCTGGCTCACAGTTCACTTGGTGTGTCAACATCATTGTCACTGGCCCCCAATGATTACTGGGCACTTAAGTTGTGTCTAGTCCACATTGCGATGTCCTTTAAGTATAAAATACATGTAACCTTTTGAAAACTTACAATAGAAACAAAGTAAAAATAATATATCAATACTTTTGCAACTATTTCAGGTTCAAATGATAAAATATCAATAAACTATATAGTATAATTATATAAATAGCAGTATATGCTGGAAGCACACTACTACAGTATAGCATATATAATTTGTGTCATATATACATGTAGCATATTATTATATATAATATATAATTATCAATGTAGATTAAACTAATATTATTTATAATATTACTGATGCTTTGTTAGATATATATTATGGAAATTAATTTCACATTTAGTTAACTTTTGATTTAACTTACTACCATTGAATCAGTGCTGACTCGTAGTAACACCCAGTGGGGTCCTGAGACTGTAACTGTTTACAAGAATAAAAAGCCCAGTCTTTCTACTAAACTTTTTAATGGATTTACTAATTCAAAATTTAAATTAGACGTACAGCTCCTCTTTATATTCTATTCAGACAGCACTTCTCTAGGATGTTTTATTAACCTGGAAAAGAAAATAAAGAGCATAACATAGGAAGAGCAATGACTATTCTTTCTTGGAAGAGAATATCCCAAACACCCTTGTCATGGCTCCCAGGACTTCTTTATTCCTTAGACTGTAGATAATGGGATTGAGCATGGGAGTCAGGATGGTGTAGAAAATGGCCAGAATCTTATCTTCTGCTGGTGAGCGGAGATTCCGAGGCCGAAGGTAGGTATAAATAAACGGTGCGTAATAAAAGGTAACAACTGTTAAATGTGTCGAACATGTGGTGAAGGCTTTTTTTCTACCCTCTTTGGAGCGCATATGATAGACAGCCCAAAGAACTCTGCCATAGGAAGCAGTGATACCAAGAAAAGGAAGGAGGAGAAAGAGGCCAGTGCTTACAAAAACCATATATTCATAGACCCAGGTATCCATACATGCAAGAGGCAACATGGCTGGGACATCACAAAAGAAATGATCAATATCTCTGGACCGGCAATAAGGAATATGAAGTGCATACACTGTATGTGCCAAGGAGTTGATGGATCCCAAGCTCCAAGATCCTACAATCATCTGGACACACATCCTTCTACTCATGCGGTTGGGATAGTGGAGGGGGTGACAGATGGCCACATAGCGGTCATAGGCCATGGAAGCCAAGAGTAAGCCCTCAGAGCAAGCCATTGTCAAGAAGAAGAAGCTTTGTACCCCACAACCTAGGAAAGAGATACCTTTTTGACCAGTGAGGAAGTTCACCGCCGTCTTGGGGATTGTAGTAGAGATGTACATCAGGTCCATGAGGGAGAGCTGGCTGAGGAGAAAGTACATGGGTGTGTGCAGGCGAGTATCCACACGGATGAGGTGAATCATGGCGGAGTTGCCCACAGAGGCCAGAAAAAATACAAGAATGATAAGGAGTAAGAGCAGCAAACCAGTTTGATTTGGAGGAAAGAGTCCCAACAAAATGAAATCATTTGAAGTTTGATTCCATTTCTCCATGAAAACGTATTGTTTAAACTTCCTTGTGAAAGAAATTTGAAAAATAAAAACGTAAAAAGGAAATTTGTGTGGGTTAATATTTATTTACACTCAATCGTATTTTTCCCAACAATTCAACTTTTTTTTAAATTCGGTATCTTTACTGAATGTTCTAATTCCTTCCCCATTCTCTCATAAGACTGTCAGCAAGTCATAGATACAATTGTGACTTTTAACTTTGAAAGTCTAGTATCAGGCACAATAAAGACAAACAGGAAACTAAAGGATTCGCTTCTCTAGAAAGACTCCTAACCAAACCTATTACTCTTGATTTTCCCAGGAGTCGCATTCATTTAAGAAAAAGAAAAGCATATGAGATCAATTCTGTCTCTGTCTCAAGGTGACCTGAACTGTGGCAGCGTAGATCTGTGCTCCACAGGATGTTAGAAGCTGCTTTCTCTAAATTAGATTACCAACCAGGTCTTTATCTTAGATGCCTCTCAGTGGACTCCAATTACCAAACATAGTGTTAATAGCCAAGAATTTAACTGTTTGTGCAACCCAGAACATTGCATCTCCCCAGTATCTATATTGAACATAGCATGTTCACAATAATTAATGACGTAGATGACCCAGAAATTGTATGTATCTTAACTTCTTTGTCCTCTGCTATGTAGTCTTCTGCAGTATTACTTTAGGGGCACTACTCCAGCTAATTTTCTCTAACTGCCATCAAGTTGATGCTGACGCTAGAGGGCAGGATAGAATGGCGTCTGTGAATTTCTGAGACTAACTATCTATGGGAGCAGAAAGCCCTGTCCTCCTCCCACAGAGCGGCTTGTCCAACTGGCAACCACTGCACCACCAAGGCTCCTTTACCCTGAATCCTCCCTCACTGCTCTCATGCTTAATTTTATGTTTTTCCTTCAAATCCGCTTATCATTTGAAACCACTGTCCTTGAAGTGTAAAAGTAGTACAAGTACTAATGCTGCTGTTATTAAGTCATTTGGGGACCACTTGGCCAGGTCTTCTCCCATGGACCCCGCAGGTAGTGATACACCTCAAACCTGACAGTCAAGCACTTCACAATTGCGTCACCAAGGGCTCCTTCAAGCCTGACTAAATCCACTTTCCTGTTTGTTTATTATATCAACTCTAATAATGTTTGCATTTGTAAAACTTGAAATAAAATGCGCATACTTTTCTACAGAGTTTAATTTGCTCTATATTGATAGAGTGCATGTGATAAAGTCACAAATCCTATGATATACATATTTTAATTGTGTTTACTTCTGTCTCTATAATAATTAGTATGAAATGGAAATACAATAGTAGGGGGATTCAGGTCTAAAAAGCCCACACCATCAAGTTGATATTGACTGATAGCAGCGACCCAGTAAGGCGGAGTAGAACTGCTCCACGTAGTTCCCAAAGCCGTAATGTTCACAGTAGCAGGCTCCCATATCTCTCTCCCAGTGTGATGGTTAGTCGCTTCCAAGCAATGTGTACAGTCAACAACCAAATCCTTTAACTACTGCATCACTGGGGCTCCTTCTATAATGAGTAAAACCAGTGTAAATGGGAATTTTTCAGATATATGATTTATAAGGTTTCCTCATTTCTTATAGTCCACTCTCATATTCGGTAAATTTAGGATTAAAAACACACTTTAAATATAAAAAGTATTTTAGGTGTAAAGAAAATCATTCTGATATACAGTTAGTAATGAGATTCAAATTTGCAAATCTTTTTTCAAATTTCTGTCATTTTAGTATTCCAAGTTTACTTATTTTTTTATAACCGTGCATCTTGCCTAATTCATATCAATTTAAACTGTCCAATAAGCCACATATTGCTATCGAGCAGAGTTTACACAGTATCTTTGATAAGGTCAAAGTATATTGAGATTAAAATTTTAAATTGTTGGGGATTGTGTTCTTATTCATCATAAGGATGGCAAATGCACCAGAGATTGGTGCTTCAGAGGGTTTTCAATGACCTGTTCTTTCTTCTATGCACCTGTAGAGTGAATTGAACATATAACCCTGGATTTACTGCTCAGATCCTTAACTGTTTCAATATCCAGATAGAAATTTAAAACACACACACACACACACACACACACACACTCCAAATCCGCTGTCATCGAGCAGGTTTCCAACCTGCTGCGACCCTGTAGGACAGGGTAGAACTGCCCCTGTGGGCTTCTGAAACCATATTCTTTAGGGGAGGACCAAGCTTCTCCTTCCCGAGGAGCATTACATGGTTAGCAGTCAAAGGGCACTTATTTTCTCCAAGAGAAGGACATTTAAACAGTTTATCTAATATCTCTGACAAGGTCAAAGCAGATTGAGCTTAAAATCCAGTAGCTTGGTGGTTCATACAGTAGATGGCAGCAGAGTTGATCCGTTTCAAAACTGTTCCAAGACTGATCTGACTTTAGCTTTGAATTCTACTCTGCTTTATAGATAGCTTAAATGTATTTTCAATGATTATAGTAGTGATTCATTAAGTAACGGGATGAAATAGAATCAAATATTGATTATTTATTGTAATGAAATTGAACTTTTCTTTCCTGGCAATTTTTTCTAACATTTTATGTTCTACACCTTATGTCGATCACATTAAAACCCAAACTTTTATGTTTATGTGGCCTCAGTTCTAGTGATTTGTTTTTGTGACCAGCTCCGTCTCCTAAACAAGCCACTGTGGTTCCACTTCTTGTGATTTTACTGTACAGGTGCTTTCATCTGCTACCTGGTCAAGGGATGGGTTTCCCAGCATTATGTGCTTGTATCTGAAGGATGAGACTTTTTCTGCATTTCCTCCAGGATATTGATGTGAGTGGTAAACTTCAGTATGATTTTTGAACAAGAAAGATCACTAGTTTATGGTTTGTTACAATTCTTTAAATTTGGTAACCCAGAGTCAACTGCTACTCCATATCACTGTGATAAATCAAAACCAATCCAAAGCCAGTGCTCTGAGTTGACTGTGACTCCTAAGTCCCCTCTAGGACAGAGTAGGACTGCCTCCTAAGGTTTCCAAGACTGTATATCTTATGGAAGCAGATTGCCTCGCCAATCTCCTGCAGAGAAGGGGATAGATCCAACCACCGCCTTTTCAGTTCGCAGTCAAGCATTTTCACCACTGCACAACCAAGACTCCTATTTGATAAGCAGAAGTAAAATTGTTTGAGAATTTATGAATGAACATTGAAAACATTTTTATAGTTATTTTTTTGAGAAATCCTAACAATGGGCTAAAAGAGAGCCACATTGGGAAATAGGATAGACCCTGGTATCATTGAATAAGAATGTTAGTTGGGATGGTAGCTGCTGGATGGATCATGGACAGTTCCTTGTAACTTTGTAGAAATGAAAACTAATGACCTCACAGATGAAAATTGTCATCACCAGCATCATCATCATTATGATACATCATTCACTTAAAAAAATCACTATTTCTATATTTCACTGAAGTGGTGTGGTGATGAGATGCACTCATGATTAAACCATATAAGACATTCTAATTATGTAGTTAAAATTTAGTAGCTGATATGGTATATTCAAACATAAATTATAAGGCATGTGATAATTATAAAAATAGAGTACAAAGCTAGAGTGAGTACTTTCCTATAAGTAGGAGATTTCAAAAAGTCTCTTCGCAAAAACCCTGGAGGGTTATACTTCAAAGCATATGACATACAAAGGAAATGAATAAGATACGTATGCATTTCTGTGGAAAAATATCAAGACATAATGACTATTTTGTTTGGGTTCTGAGTAGGGCAGGAAGAAATCAGAGTAGTGAATGATTTTGTGTGTGCTTTAGAGAAAAAATATGGATGCTCTGAGGGGATCAGAGTTTTAAGCAGATCTGGATATGTGAGATTGATTTTGAGGGAGTTCATCCAACAAGTCCAATCATACATGGCTTCTAGAGCTTTTCCAGGTGCTGGTACCAAAGTTATCCACGGGGTCAGATTCCACAGATCTTTGATGCTAACCCTTCTTTGGGTGAGAATAAAGACAACTAATAAATGCAAAACCCTTCTCCTAGGCATCTGCTTTCTCCTCCAGGAACCTAACAATCATCATTATAACTGTCCTATAACTTTAAAACCAGTAAGCACTGACATATCTCTGACTGAAGAGTCTATGTGGGTCAGAGTAGACGGGTGTTCCCGATGGTTGCTACTGGCCGATTTTTATTTATGTGTTTTCTTTAGATCACCAGACATTTCTTCTGAAGCTCTTTTTGGAGCACAATTTTACTCCAATACAAATGGAATCACCATGATCCAAAGTCAACTCAAAGGCAACTGCTTAACCTTGGACAAGGATATTTATATAAGAATATCAGTGAAATGAATAGCTAGTTCATTGAATTTGCATACTTGGCTTCCTCATATTGAGGATAGGATCACTAGGTTCTCTCAGTATCCCAGGAAGTATCTTGTTTTAAAAGTGAAAGACCTACAATCCACTAACCCACAGTCAGTCCTAAGAAAATCAGGAAAGTTGTCCAACCTGTTTAGAAGTAAATTTGTATTTAATATATCATGCTACTTTCTATCTGCCTCACATATCTTTCCCTCATCTACCTTGAATATCTCTTCTGATGACTCAAACATCTTCTTTGCCTGTTCAAGTGAACCTAATGTTTGCATGACAACTAAATTAATAATTAAATGGTAATGGTACTCACATTGATTAAAGATTGCTAGCTTACCTAATAGTTTTTAGCATGCCTTGCCAAGAAATTAGATCAGAATTTCTCAGGATATGTTCTTATTGTTCAACCCAGGCTTAAGTGTACAACAATGATATTAAGTCAGTTCTACTTAAGAATTTTTAATAGGAAATATTGGACTTCTGTTATCTGTCATTGTTTAATTGTTTTGAGGCTACACACACTTCTATTTTGATCCTCTGCTCCATAGATTACAGCTCAGAGCATATAAGGATTATTTTATGATATTTACAAAAACTTACTTATTTTATATTTTAATATACCTATTTTACTAGACTGTGTA